TTTTGACGCACAACAAGTCTTGCAGCATCGGTTATCAAGTTCGCCAACAAGTAATGCAATTTTCGACTGAAAATCACATGAGCTGCTGTTGCAGCCCTGTCAACTGAAGTAACACCTTGCGGATCAACAACTGTCACACTCAAAGCGTCAGCTGTCACTTCCGTTGGGTCAAGTTCATGCGCATCAAGGAACGCTGCTGCCTGTGCATCAAACATTGCCAAGTAAGCTTTGAAAGCCCATGACCAGTCTTCCCAATCATGCGGTTTACCTGAGAAAGTCGGGGGAAGTGGAAGCCGAAGCTTTGCTGTGAAAGAATCATCATCACCTGCAAGTGCCATTGGACTCANNTTTCAGCTCCGCTACCATGAAAAAGCAACTAACTATCCCAAAATTTAAAACCTCCCTAACTGCTTTGGGGTCGTCACGGGAGCAATCAGGGAAAGGAAGGTCGTTGGGAGGAATGCTGCGAAGCACCTCCAGCTCAACAAAGGGCATGAAAAGCTCAGGGCCCAAGTGGGGTCGAATGCCCGTGATCAGGAGGCGGTTGGCATCAGCATCGCGGTAAGGCTGCAAGATAGGGGGCCCACCAGGCAGGTGAGGAACAGGCCCTTCAGCAACACGGCCTCCAGGGTAAGCGCGGCTCGAGGAATACCACACGCCTTCAAACACACGCGCAGTTCCTCAAGGCGAGCGAGGAGATGAGGGCCGCGCCTCCCAGAAACGAGAGCTCAGGGGATTGTCGGCTACTCGCCCTATCAGCCCCTCAAGCCAGCCAAGAACTGATTCCGGAGGCCTTCGGAGGGATCCAAAGAGGGACAGGCTTGCCATCAGACTGCAGAAAATTGAGAGCCAGACACACAATGCGCAGCACACGGCTCTTCGCAAAAGAAAGGCTCCGACAGCACGCACGCATCTCAGGGCACTTTCCCGACAAGACCCCAGAAGGAAAAACGACGGTATCAGGGGGCGGCTCCCTTTCATGGGATTGAACAGAAAAGGTAGCCCGAAGAAAACGGCAATCTCTTGGACCTGCCGAGCGAGAGACGCTACCAAGTCCTGAAGCATGGCTTGTTGCGAGGCGAGCCCTGCGACGATGGGCCTTTTTGATTTGGCTTCGGCTTTGGCCGTGGGACGCTCCAGGCCAGGAGCAGGAACTTCTTCGGCATCGGCTGCGGCGGCGTACCTCTGTCCCCATCGATGCCCTGGAGCCAGGCGACTACAAAGGAGGACACCTTTATGGTTAGAGGGAACATCAAAGGCTCTCCAACATCGAAAGGGAGGACTCCCTGACCTGTGACATAAGGCATTAGAGCGGCTGAGGCGTCGGCTCCTAAATCGACCATTAGGGCGGAAATGCTCCTTTTTTGCTGGGTCCAGTTCCAAAAGAACCGCCTGAACTGAGACAACAGATGCGGGCCCCAAAACCCCAGTATGACCTGCCGCGGCGGCTGAGCCCAGGGCTTCCTGGGAGATGGCCAGGCGTGGCAAGCACAGAAGTAAGCCACTGGGCCGCTTCAAGACGCAATAACATGCGCATGGTTGAGGCACAGGCAGCCGCACTCAGGTGCCAAAGCAGGATTGGGTACCAGGAGTTCCAAGTCTCCAAGCAGCGAGAGGGGATCGCAAGAGGAGGCGTGTGCTTAGGAGATGGTACTTCTCCACGCAGCACAGCCCTAGCCCAGCAGCCAGCAACCCAGGCACGTTTGAGTCTGGGCAGCGGAGGCGGAGTGAAGCTGCCTGCGCAAGCCAAGCAGCGGGGATAGGTGGAAAGGCGGCCTCAATCCTATGGCGTGCACCTTGACCTGTGGCAGGGGATGCAGCAAAGGGGACCTCAACAGGCACCGAAGAGGTACCTGGAGAAACTCGTTGCACAGGAGAAACTGAGGAAGAGGAGGCAGACGAAGGTGGGACCTCAACAGGTACCTGACCGGCACCCGGAGACACAGGGGGTTGCAGAGGATCTGATGGATAGGCAGAGGTCGAGGCCCTCGCAGGAGGAATATCAGACCTAGGCCTACGAGCGGTCACCGATATAGATACACCCTCAAGCTGTAAGGCAATTTGGGTAACCTCCTCCTCAGAACCCATACAAAGCCAGCCTGCTTCGGGACTGGCTAGCAGAACCTGCAGGCTGCGCAGGTACAGGATACAGTACACAGGCCAAAGGACATGACGGAAAACACAGGCAGTCAGGCAGGCACCGGCAAGGATACCTAGCAACAAAGTCAGTGCCAAAAGGGGCAGGTCCGGCTGAGCACAGTATATAGGACACCGAAAACCCCAAAGGTTGTTGCGGAGCCCTTCCAGGACCAACCCGAACACTTCTGTCACTACCTGGGCCTGCGTTAAAGCTTGAGCAGCATGAAGCCGACATCCACAGTCGTCACTACTCCACAGTAGATATACCCCTGAATACTAAAGACATTTTGTGGTGAGAAAATCGGCGTTTTCAGGTTCGCAACTACTACATTCGTTGATCGATGTAGGTTGCAAAGTCGAGGGTTGAAAGATTTGGATCTGCGTATTAGGCTTCGCAGTTTGGGTTATTAAGGATTTACGTTTACTGTACTGTTGACGGTTGATATTTCAGGGTTGCGCCAGATTTAACTTAGAATCTGTCACTGAAACTAAACATGTTTCTGGATTAAGGAAGTTTATTAATGATTTGCAACTAACTAGTTTTTCTGGGTGTTGGGGGGTCCCCAGACGCGCCCTTAATAGTTGGGGTCTCTCCGCAAATAACACCCATTTTGCACAATGAAAACCAAAGCAAATGCAGAGTCCAAAAGACTCCCCAGAGATAATCCAAAAAAAACAAGTCAATGTTGAGCAAGATTTCATATTCGTATGAAGCGATCAAGCATGACTCGAGGGTCTTTTCTGGAGCCCTCTTTGAGACACACATCTGGCATGCACGCAGGCACAGATTTCTTCAAAGGTTATAACAATAAGCACCCTGTGGAACGGCAGAATCAGTAGGCAAAGCGATAAGGTTCTGGGGATAAGACAAGGAGAGCTCCCGCAAAGCCCTGCTGCCCAATGACACCTGCAGCGGTGTCTCACCCAGGAACAATTGATTTGGAGTCATCACCTTGAACAGCTGTTCAACAGAGTCCGCCCATTCCTGGATTAACATTGGAACTCAGGGTGTCAGGGCTTTGGCTTAGGACCTACAGTAAAAAGGAGAGTTTCGTTCTCTGGTTAAGGCCTGAAGAGAAAAAGGCTGAGCGAAGTATGGCACAGGTTCACTTGTACGCTGCAAGCTGCGCACAAAGTCCCACACGCCAAAGGCTTCGAAACATGGGCCTTGGTGCTAGGGCTTTGTGCCAACATGAGAGCCAAGGACAAGGGCATTAGCTGCGACTACCGATCGAACATTGAACAGTGCTTTGAGCTAAACGCAGGCCCAAGCACTGCTTGTCGTCACCATGAGCTCCAGAATCCTCAGCAAGGCGGACATGTTCATGAGCTTCATGGCTTCGTCCAGGCAGGCATCGGGAGAGTTGTCCAAAAGTATATCATAGCCGTTATAGCCGTCAGGTCTGGTAGACCTTGGATGGTACCGAGGGCAAGGACCGAAGCAGGACTCGGGTTTGCGAACGACTCTCAACTCCATCCACTCCACCCCCTTCGTGGCGCGGTTGCAATTTAAACGGCCAATCCCTTGCATCCTTTGCACAGTGAACCGCGCATCAGAGACATCGATGCTCATCTTAAAATTAGTGTCCCTCCCGCCGCACAGCGCGTAGCTTTGCTGCGAGTCTGAAAATTCTGGTAGCAGGAATGCAGTGCTGCCCTTGTCGAACCGAAATGAGATAAGCGGTGCGTGCGGCACGACCACCAGAGGAATGTCCGTGACCTCCGCGTCTGTTTCATCTTCCGTGAAGCTTGCAAGCATCCGGGTGCCCACGCCTGTCAGGAACTTGGCCGGAATAAGCATCTCGAAGGTGCTTTGGATGCTAGTGGGAAGCTTGTTCGTAACAATGCTCAACGGGATGGAACTGCCTGGGTCTGCAATATGAGCTTCAAGACTTGGGAGTAGCCCCACGGACTTCCCGCTCACCGTGACGTTCTGCAGCCATCTTAGAAGCTCGGATTCCTTTCCTGAAAGGCTAGCCTCTGACATCAAAATGTGAACTTCCTGCATCGTATCCTCCTGGAAGATGCACGACCTAGCTGCGTTGTCTTTTTCGTCATTCGAGAGCACAACTTCCTCCACCGCACAGCGGCCAACACTGGGAACATTTGTGCAGTTGCACAAACTGCTGATCTTGGCACCATTGCTCCTGCTCGACTCTGCCTGACTGGTGCAAGCACAACCGGACGAAAAGTAACCTGCAGCGTGGCATTGGCAGCCATGTCTATGTCTGGTACGTTCCAGAGAGGATTCGAAAGCTGAAAAGCCAGCCTTCTATCCTCAAAGAATCTGCTCAGCGTTCCATCGTCCATGCCCTGCGCCCTCATTGGAGCTGAGAGTGACACGCTCACTGACTTCCCAATCCTCAAGACACGCATGACATACGTAGTGGTGACAAAATCACCGACTGCTTCGAGCGAAATGCGGCTGTATGCAGGACCTTTGGGCAAAGAGATTTGCCACGGAGACTCCTCAATACGAAAGCTTTCTGCAAAGCTGGGATGCTCAACCAGCACCGTCACTGAATGTGTGTGAATTCCTTTCTGAAGACTTAAATCAACAGAATCCGCGTTCAGGTCCAAAAGCAAAGTATTGTGAACAGCCTGTGCCTCTGAAGGATACACCAAATAGCCGCGACTCCACGTGTAGTGCACGAGCTCACCACGCATCTGACAAGAATCCCAGAAGAGCACAAGCGATGCCTTGGCAATCTTGGATACAGCCAATACAGTCAGAAAATTACTCTTGTCCACGAACAGGCAGCATGGTTCTGAATTCTAGCAGCTTTGAACATGGCAGGCAACACTCGTACTCACCAGTTGCCGAGCAGTCGACAATAAGTCAATAAGGCAAATGGACAAGAATGTTCCCTAAACCTGCTGCACCACAACTCACTGAAATGCCATACACAACATGACTCATAAGCCTTTCTCGCTTAAAGCCCTAATCCCATGAGAAACGGAGGCGTTTGGAACGAGCCTGTAGACACTCACGTGAAAATAGAGAAGCATCAAGAAGCGGGTCAGGGGATTTTCGTCACGGTACCATAAGGCTGATCGACAGCGCGAATATTGTGACGATTTGGACGGCCAGCCACTTGAAAGCCCTGGACTTCGAGAGCTGTGCTGGTCTGCGGTCTGTGATGGCTAGCTGCTCCATATAGACCTTGGGCACTGAGTTCCCTAGACCACGACAAATCCTACCCCTTCATGATGGCAAGCATATATGAAAGGCACACAAGACTGGAACTCATCTGCTCATCTAAGAGGCAGAGAGAAGCTCGGAGCGCTCCAGTTGAGGTGCTCTCCAGCTACGAAGAGCAGACGCGGCGTTGTGCACAGAGCGCGCATGTAGACCAAGGAAGATGGCAAAAGTCATGCAGGCAGGGAGGGAGTCCACATGTAGCGGGGCTCTGACCACCAACATGAATGGAACAACAGCCAAAAGAACCTTACTAGTCCTACAACCTTTATGACAATCGGGAGTCTGGTTTCCTTAGGTCTTTGCAAGCCTTACCGACAAGAAGCTGTTGCGAAAGTAGTTTAGGAGCGTGAAATGTGGCGAGGCTCCATGTCCATCCGCATGGGAGGCGCAGCAAATGCTGGCTTTGAAGTGCTTCCTCGTAGTCCAAACCAAGAAGGAAGGATCCGCCTTGTTCTTTTAGAGTCAGGACATGGGTTGCCAGAACACACATAGCCATCAGCAAGAAAGACTTCCAGGCAAACCACGCCCGCAGGTGCTCCAAGAGCTGCCACAGCACCGACAAATATGAAACAATGAGGGTCAAAGTCTTCGTCAAAAAGCTGCCCAGTGGTGGCAGCAAAACATCCGGGGCGCAGTAGTTGGTTGCCGTCTGGTCATCCAGAATGAGCAACTCAAAGTTGCTGATTTCATCACACAGACAAACCCAGCCTGCATCCTTCCTCTCTGCCGACACAGCCTTGTCGACACCCTGAACATAAATCAGGCCCCAGAGCACAGAATTGGACATGCCACGCATTTTGCATGTGATTTCATACCAATCGCCGCTTGCGACTGCTTGCCATATGGACTTTCTTGTAACCAGCTGTACCTCTCGCAGCTCCACCTGGGTACCAGCTTCCACGGCTTCACTTGACACGTCGGGTCCTCTTGCTTTCTCATAGAGGAAAGCATGCTGGCTGAGTCGATACACCTGCCGCATTGGACACAGCTAAGTGACCAGCTGATTTCTAGGGCCATAGTATGGCACCCGAACCTATGGCCTTCTGAAGATTCTTATTAGGAGCGCATACATTATCCAACTCTATGTTCGAAGGATGGGACAGCGGCTTCTTCAGCTTGTATCTGCAGCGCGCAAATGCTGGACGAACTCATGCGACAGAATTCCCATTGCATCCCGTACGTTATCTATCACAGCTGAAACCTCGTCAAAGCAGCTAGAACATGGAGATCGCTAAGGGACGAGATTAGCTTTACTTTGAACTTGCTATGGCTATATCACTGTAGACGCCCTACAGTGCTTGCATGCGCGAGCCTTTGGAAGCTCCTCCTTCAAGAGCGTTTCCATAACCTTTTTCTTTGGATCTGGCTTGCGCCACTTCCACCACCATGATACGAAAATGCTGCAGAGGCCACCAAAAAGACACAGAGCACCTTCAGCTTGGGCTAGGAGCGAGGCTAGGAGCTCTGATAACGAGAAAAATGGGAAGGGAGGAGACTGCTCTGCTCAGAAGAAACCCGAGCCTGTGATCATGATCGTTTCCGCCAGGAGGAGAAGCTTGTTAGGAGTGGACCTGCGCATATCAAGGTTGGAATTCCATCCGCCCAGCCATGTTTGAAGGCGCCACGGTAAAGGCTCAAACTGCAAGTCCGCCACGCACTGATACGATGCATGACAAAGGAACAAACGGCGGCCAAACACTTCGCGTGCACGAGGAATGAGCAACACCTGAGCTTCTGCCATACAACTCATCTAGATGAAACACCACGACTGCGGCAACTTTGGCACGCACCCACCTTCCAGCTTGACGTCAAATTTCGGGGGTCCGCTGGAAACATGTGGAGCTCCACAGCGGGCACATGCTGCACGTCCGCTTGCATCAGGGCTTCGTATTGCTTCCTGAAAAACTGTTCATCCATTTTGGCTGCTGAATGCAGCGCCTGCTTCAGCTGCTTGACCTTAAATCTTTGCTCCAGCATGGCTTCCTTGCCTTCCAGCGAGTGGCGAACTGGGTGGAGCTTGACGCCTGTGAGGTGTTCCGTGCAATCATCTGACAGGGCCAAAAACATCTCGCGAGATTGGAAGAAGTTGAAGATGGGATCATCGAAGAGCAGGGATGGAAAGTCAAATTCCTCGGAGGCAGTCCTGCATGTGTGCTACATCTGAGTTCAGCGGTTCTTACATGACAAGCCCTCTTCTTTTCCCCTACCCTGTGCGACAGTCTGTGCAAACAAGAAATTCGCCGACAAAACGGTGATTGTTAGGTGAGGGCAAACTTCATGACTGCAAAAAAAAGAACTTGCAAGTTGAGCCGCCCTACACATGTCAGCGAAACCGCCATACTGCATGGCGTAATTCTTCTACAGAAGAAGCCTTCAGAGGCCACAATGGTATGCATGCATGCCATGGTGTGGAACAAGCATGGAAACAGTATGGAACACGCACACATGGAACGCAAGCATTTGCTCTGGGCATCCGAGGCAAAGCAAGTAGCTTCATAAAGCACAGAACTGAACATGGAACGAGACACCCTTTGCGCCTGTTCCAAACAAAATGTGTTGCGAAAGTCCCATGGCCCATACTTAAGCAGAAGCTACCGGGGATGACATTGCCTTTGCCATATGGAGATTGTGGTCGACATAGGGTCCCCAACGATTCTAGTGTAATCAGTGCAGAACCACACAGAGAGCCCGCAGCACATGCCCACCCGAACCAACATAGGGAAATATGTGACTTGAGGAATTTGTTTTTGTACCGAAGCGTTGGGGATCGTCGGGGGGTGCAAACAGATTGCTTTGGACCCTCTTTTCACTTTTAGCAGAAGCATGTAGACGGCAAGACTGCCGCCGGAAGCCGACGCAAACTAAGTGCAGGCATTGTGTAAGGTCCAAACAGTCAAAGCAGTACAACACCGCTTAAAGATGCTTGAAGCGTCACCACAGACTTAAAACTCCTTGAGGCCACTCTGGAGCATCGACTTGAAGCTCTCAAAGAATCCGTTTGCTCTCGGAATGCTGCTGCCGCGACGAGAATACTCCTGAATCTCAGGCATGTTGTTCTCTCAACCCTATCGCGAATTGCAGCCAAGCTGCAAGAATTTGACCAACATTTGTTAGCTTTCAGGATGCTGGGAAGGGCATTGCGGCGCGCTACCTGCCCTCCGGAGCCCAAGTTGTGCCGAAAACGGTTTCCAAATCAGACAGCAAAGCTAAACTCAACGTGCAGCACGAACACTGCATATCAAAGGCAGGATACTGCCAGGATGCAGACCCAAGGGCTGCAGGCCAGAGATGCCGGTTAGATCGAGAAATGGAAGCATGCAGACAGCATCAAGAGTTCTGATACCGAGTGTATCCATTCTGTCTCTGCCGCAGCAATGCGTTCTGCGCTACTACGCTCGACGCACAAAATTTGCAAGGTCGTTTGCTCCGGCGGAACAAGGATCATGGCGTGGTCCTTTTTCCAATTGTTTACATGCTTGGCACAGGTGCAATTTGCAACGTTAACGCCTGGTCACAACCATGGATGAAATACCACCCGCATCAGACAATATGTCGGCCAGGGTTTCGGATTCCCCTTTGTCCTCAGGTTGATGAAAGACCCGACATGTCCTCACTTTGACATCCATGTCGACGGTCACAGTTTTTGCACCGGCACCCTTGTGCTTCGAGACAAATTCTTTGTCGCACTTGATGGGGTTATTTATCTCTTATTCCTGAATATCAAAACCACGCAGTTGGTATCACCACCATGTCTCACAAATATTTCCATATTCTCATCATACAATCCATGCTACATCTATGAATTCAGTTGATTCACACAAGTGGCAAACCTCATGTGCATTGCACGCACTGAAGTGACGAACTCTCACACTTTGATGCCCCCACCAAGCGCTGCAGCATGTCCGGCACCAGGTTGCCTCTGCGGCTACACAAGGCCAGACTGCGCCCGCCTGTCACCC